ACAATTCTTTGATAGTTCTCTCTTATGTTTCATTATATATTACCTATAACCAATAGAAAGTCAAGGTTTTCATCTATCAAATGATGTATAATGTTGTATTCTGAACACAATATCGTCAATTTCACTTACAGTACAAGATTCGTTCCCATGGAAAAGTTAACGACTAGCTTGGATGAATTTGTCTATGTTTTGCATGTTATTAGTCTATATTCTTTTGTGAATTATTTAATTAAATAAAAATTAAGTGCATTACTATCTATAAGATAAAAAATTAGGGTTAACTATTTCTTGTTTTTTTATATTTATTCTTTATTTATTATTATTATAAAAGTAACTAAAATCTAAAAATACAAATCCTTTCAAATTATTTAAGACTAGATTAGGTTAAGTATGTAATAATAATAACATAATTAAAATGGTTCATGAGGCATGCATGCAAGCAGCTAGTGGGTAATGTAATTCAATAGCGTAACTTGAGCTGCATATTCTCCGAGTGATTTACAACTTATAATGGCCCGGATAGTAGTTAGACATGGTCCAAAGGGCAATAAAACAATAAAATCTAAGTATAAATAGATGTATAGTGGCCCTATCTCAAAAAGTAATTGTTCAATTCAACCGACCTTGTAACAACCAAAAAAAATCAAAATAAACCTAAACTACCTTTTTTTCTTTCTAGAATGACTTTTGTCCATGAATATATTGAGTATTGTTTTGAATAGTCCATGTCCAAAGTAATTTTCATTTTAAAATTAAAAATACTTTTCCTCATCTCTGCACTTTCTAAATGTATTTCAAACGTTTTTTCTCAGTAAAACTTTATAGTTTATCTGTTATTTTCTCTATTTTATTTTATTAAAAGTACTTCACTAAAAAATATGATTTTTTGTATGTGAAAGACTTATATAAACTGAAATACTGCCAAATTTTGTGAAGATATATATACACTATATTGAAAGTTAGAAGTATTAAATCTATAAAGACTTTATTGACTACAAGGAGGGCATGTGGTCAGTCAAACTGATGGAGCCCGTGTTGAGAGAGTTAATGACATTCATAAGCACCAATAAATATTATTTAAATCTAGTCATGATCATAGTAAAATTAAAAATACAAACTCATAGAAAAGCACTGATTCCTAAAGTAATTAATGATAATTAAAATATATATATATATTATTAATTTTAAGATTATTAGGCATTTGAACTGACTTAAAAATTTCCCAATAACTCACCCCAGCTTCATCATCATCTTGCTGCAATAAATCATTAGCACTGTTATCACGGACCAATCCCTGTGGTTCGCTTCTCTGGGAAGTTTGCTCAGTAGATGTTTCTGTCTGATTTCCAACACCTGGAAGACACCAAATACACAATATCAGGGTAGCAAATAATAATCAAAACAAACTGTATTTCAAACTTGAGCCCTGTACATATTTTCTCTTATTACTTTGTATTCTAATCATATAACACTTCATTTCAAAAATGAACTCCACCTCAAAAGCAATGTTCATGTTTTGAACCAATTGTTCTGATGAAAAGATGTCTTTCCAAATACAAACTTGCACAAGCTATATTTTTTGTAACTTATGAGCATAAGGGATTAAAACTCGTGGCAAGAAAAATAATGAAATTAAAATCTTCAGGAATAAGCCACATGTCTTTCAATCTATTATATCACAGGTTTCATGTATTCCTTGTATATCTTTTCCAAATATAAGAAAATTTCCAGTTCTTCTCCAATTGCATTCTACATTAAACTTAAACAAACTCTCATATGATACAATATATCTGACAAACATATAAACAAAAACAGGAATCTTTTCAAATTTTTCTCTCTCCCATTAAACTACTGGTGATGTGTCATTCAAAATACACAATGGTCAAAAATTCCTGGGTACCTGAATTCCCAGAAAAACTTAGTGTTTGGCCTATGTGTGTTAACCTTGAACAGCAATAATTATATGGTTATTTTCTATTATTTAAAAAGCAGTGAATAAGAGTTTTCTCCCCTCCCCCCAGCAAATGAATAATTCATTACTTTATAGAGTTTCAGAAAAATCTTTATTCTTTCAAATACTAGAAAGAGAATTGAAGTTTTAAGAATACAAAGAGAAGTTCAAAGCCATGCATTAAATATGCAAGGTACTGAATTTAAATTTAAAATTGTAGCAGCTCTTAATCATATTATTCATTAAATAAAAATGACATTGAATTGAGAGTAAAAAGTTCATTATATCATTTTAATCATTACAGATATCTAGATCCTTTTTGTTTTTCAATTTACTGAAATTATTGGGAAGCTGTTAATGCACAAAGATCCCACAAGTTGATACTACATACAAGTATGGATCTCAACAAATCAAAATTCCTTTCTTTTTCATTACTTTATTTTCGAGTTTCCTTTAATTAAGAAATTAAGATGATAGAAATTTTATAAATTGCAATATCAGTATTCACATATAGCTTTAAGCTAAGCTATAGCAATAATAATATACACTCATTACAGAAAAATTAATTACTACTGATGTCAAGTATCTAGATCGGTAGTTGCTAACCTTATTGTGCCATGTACCCAAGATGCATATAACGTTTATATATATAAAATGGTGAGTCAACAAATAGTGAGTGCTGGATTCTAGAAAAGTCTACAAGTACCCTTAGTGCAGTGGCGTATCAATTATTTTTCTTAGCGATGGTGTGTGTGAACCTACAAAGTTAGAGATCCCAACCTTTAAAAACTGTATTGTAATACAAGAAAAATTAATTTTTTTCTGAGTGAATATTTAGAAAATAGGCATATTCTGGCAAAGATGAGTCATTTCTGAGACCAATCTGTGGAAGCAGGCAAGTTCTAGTTAAAAATATTGTTCACTACATATTTACAATTTTGTAGTAATGTTAAGGTATAATTTTACATCATTCATAATTATCCAGACATTTAAAGCAAATTTGAGCCAAGCTTTTAATGAAAATATCTTATTCCATCAAAACTTCAAAAACAACATAGATATGCTACTAGTCTTGGGATATGCATACCATAGGATTGGAACACTCATCTAGATTGTGATATTACATGTTTTTCTAGAAATTACAAGCATATATTTAATACATAATTTGATTATTAACTGTTATGGTAAACGATATTTTGAAAGCATTTTAAATCTTGTTTTCTAATAAATGCACACTGTTCCATAATATCACAGAAACAAGCAAATAAAACTACAAATAATTATGTTATTTGTTTATAAGTATAGTAAAGCATTCAATGTGCCACCATTTCCTAAAACTTACAAAAAAAATTAATGAAATGGAATTTTTAAACGGTGAAAGAATCAAATGGTGTATATCAAAAATATACTACATATCACATAAAGCACAATGCAGTAACACTCAAAACAAGTAAACACGTGATTTTGAGTAGAGCCTACAACTGACTTGAAGGAGCATTACTTTGAGAGAAGTTGTAAATTATGTAATTTAATGAAAGTAAAAAAAGAAAAATTTTTAAATAGTTTTGTGATACTAAACACATTGATTTTCCCATCTATCTATAACTACAGTGCATTCAAATCTTGAGTTAACTCAATCACTATTTCAGTCAACTTACCTTCACCTTTATTTACAAACAAGGAACAATTTGTTCATTATTTTGATAGATTTGCCTTCATTAAGAATAGAAAACTAATTTTCCTAAACAAAGATACTTTTTATTAAAACAATGAAAATTTTGTTTCTCTCTCAATGTGTTTAATCATTTTGTTTCACAGTCTGAAGAAAAATGCTTCTTAGCACAACTTTTAACTTGTCAGGATAATTTTTACAAATGTCCATCAAACTGAAGTATTAAAGGTGCTGAAATGTACTCACAAACCCAATGAAGTAAAAAAAACAAAAAAATACTGGAACTTTGCAAACTTAATATTCTGTGATGGGCTTGGTATAAAATACCAAGTCTGTATACACATTTGCACTCAATAAGTATTTATACCATAACTTTTAGTACAGTACGTGTATCTTCCCAAAATCTGGTAGGTCTGATATTATATTTGACAGCTCTGTAACCAAAGAAGATTGAAGGTTATAAAAAATATGCACGATTTTATAGTGAGTAATTTACATAGAATTTCATACTTCTCAGAAGGGTGGTAAATAAATTAGAGATTAAATGTCACAATTCTCATACTAAGGAAAATTCAGGGTTTTCTTTTAAATATTGCCTTATAAACTGAAGAAATTAAAACTTATATAATATTAAAATTTGGATTATTAGATACGTTTGATGTGAAGTTTATTTGTAAACCATGATAAGAAAGCAGCTTAATTAAATTTTTAATGTAACTCACTAAAAACCTTGTGACATGTGCAAAAAAAAACGATGCTCATAGTGAAAGGATTAAATTATGTTAAGTCATTAGCCTATTTATACAAACAGAACTCCAGTTTAATTATGACTTGATATATGTGCAGGAACTTTTAAGAAAACAACAAATCAAAGCACTGTGTTCCTAAAGCATAAATGTACTTAACTTACTGGTTTAAATTACCAAGTTTTTTTTTTTATATTATACAACATGAAAAATGTTCCAAGAATCTTTGTTCATTCCCTAATTTTTAAGATAAAGTTATGACTATCAAGTCTTGTTTAACAAAACATATGTTATTCTAATTTTCATATTGTTTTATTCTAAACTTAGGCTACTTAAGGAATATTCAAAATACTAGGTTTTTACTTTGGCAGTTATGTACATATTTATTTATGATTATATTCATTTACTTTGGTTACAAACCATATAGGTGCAACACTTAAGGCTTCAAAATTATTGTAAACAAACTTATGAACATGTAATATAATGTTGCAATAAGTGAACGATAGTGATTAAATCTTTCATCTTTTCTAAACAAATACACAAGCTTTAGATTTTAGATGTATCCAATGTCCTATACACCACTGCAAATACGCACAGTGTTCAGCATTAGGCACTGTAGGTGAACCATTATGGTTTGTACGTTTAGTGGTTAGTACACAATGCCCCCTGCTAATAGGGGAAATTCAGGATTTTTTTAAATATCATCTTATAAACTGAAGAGCTAAAAAATGTATACTATTAAAATATGGATTTTTAGCTATACTAATTGGAATAACACACAAAAACTAGCTTAATTAAATTTTTAATGCAAGACACTAAAACCTCAAGCCCACGCAGCCGAGTTAATGAAACTAAATAATATATATTTACACTCACCTTCTTCAGGTTTTACAACTAAAGCATTAAGAAGTTCACAGATCACATCTTTCATAGGTCCATCAGTGACTTGTTGACCGACTCCTTTGGCAGGTAAGGCCTTCAGCATTTGCACAGCATTACTGCTGGTGTATCGTCTGTCATCTTCTTCTACATAAAAAAAAATCAAACTGTCTTTTAAACATTGGAAGTTATGGTTACAGTAACTTGCATGTTTTTGTTATACAATAAAAAAATCCCACTTATGTTTAAAAAAAAAAAGCTCTAAGATAGCATAAAAATTAACTTTGATCTTTCCAATACTACTCTTTTGGTGGTTAGTAACCATAAACTAGCTTAATTATCAATGCAGTAAGTTATAAACACCAATAAATAAAAAGAACAGTGACTATAGCATGGTAATTATGGAATAAAATACTGGGCACTGCTTTTTCTTCTTTGTTAAATGATCATAACAGAAATTATTTTACAACAATATTTTACCAATAGGAAAAATCGATTGTTTAGATTTATCATTAATTTTTTGCATACCACGTTTTGTAAGAGGTAGTAAGGCAATCCGAAGTGTTGACTTAGCAACATCTTTAAAAAGCTCTGGATCTCGACATGCAGCAGGACCAAGAACCCTTAAAACATAATGCATTTCTCTGTTACTTAGTGGTGAATTGGAACTTTGAGTTGAGTGCCGCACAACCTGTAGGGAAAAAAAGTCCAAAGTTTGGAATATATAGAATTCTTTAAAAAAAAAAAAAAACTTTAAATTTATTTCACATTAAACTTCTCATCAATTAACTTAGCATAACAGACTAGGCTATAAACGTAGGATTGTCATTTTTCTCATATTAATATATACACATACACACTGAAAATTATATATGTAAAGGAACAGTGCAATGGACTAGTAAAATTTTTCAACCAAGAATTGTCTGCAATAAATCAGTGAACACAACTTTATGCACCTGTATATTATGTTACTCATGTACCGTGGTTAAGAATGCATGTTTTCATATTTTATTGAATTATCTCCTTCCTCTTAGAAAGTTCTAGTGTTATCATGTTAACAGTCACTAAAGTAAAGTATCATGCATGTACCTCAAGAAATAGCAAGTGAAAACACTTCCTTGCACTAATCGTGTGTTTAAAGTGAGCTGCACTGCTACAAACTTCCCATCTCTGATTCAAGCTTTGACTTTTGGGACTAACTGAGAGGTGTGGCAGTTATGGGGCATTAAGGTTATCTCATATAATGTTAAGCTTATTTACATATCTATTTCTGAATGTAAGTGAAAAATATCAGGCTACCTTGGAATTTCAGTTTCAAAGTTTTTGTTTTTAATTAACATGCCAACTTTATCATACAAAAAAGACAGAACTCCAACAAAGAGTTAAAATAATATGGTCAGAGACAGAATGAACACATGCAAGTGATAAATATCCTATGGTGAAGTTTTACTTGTTTGATGTTAAACAGGAAGCTACACAATGAGTTATCTAAGCCCTGCCAACCTGGGTATCAAAACCAGACTTTAGCATTACAAGCCATCAGACTTACTGCTGAGCCTCTGGGGAAGGAGGACTATAGTGAAGTAAACTAAAGTAGGGAAATGGAAACAAATGTGAAGTGATGTACATGAAAGTAGAAATTGTGAAAGTAACATACAAGACACATACAAAAAATATCAATATTACATTAAATTCCATTAATTACTGTTGGGGTTTCCTATGCATTTTCAGTTAGTTCTTTATAGTGAGTGTTGTATAAACACAAAATTACTCTACATGTAATGTTTATTACAAAAAATATAGACTAAATTTACCAAGAAGCATCACATTTAAAGTTATTTCATTTAATAGCTAAAAGTTATTTACCATGGATGTTTTTGCCTTAACTTCAAACACATTATTAACCATAAGTAGACTATGCAAACTTTCCTCTAAATTTAAACTAATTATTTATCTTTTACTCTGTTCTGTCATTACATATAACTAATGTGAACCAAGTTTTAGCAATGCTGTTAAATACTCTTACAGAATTATCTTCATTATATTTCTGATATAATTTGAGAGTTCAACTTCCTCTATCCAGAAATTAATCACTGATTATAAAATCACGAGAAGGATTGGATGTAGTAGCCAGAAAAAAAAAAAGTGGGGGAGAATAAATTAAATAAATGGGCTGAAAATACCTTAATAATAAAAAACAATTATCACATAAGCTTCATAACAATAGAAAGAGTTCAGATACTGAAACAACAAATTATAAATGTGCCACTAGAAAACGTGGTTTTTAGTAAGAAAACATTTGCAGAACCTCTTTTTTACAGTTTACTCTCGAACATACATCAGAGTCAATTTCAAATCCGAAAGTAGAGTGAGTTACTTTTTAAATTTTAAAATAAGAATCCTACAGAGCAACACTTAACATTGTTTATGAATTTACTTGTCCTAGTTGTAATGCTAGGTATATAAGATCTAACACTCAGTAAAAATAAGTCAAGTATAAAATAGCATGTCACACATAACTGCAGTGAAAGAAAGGAATGCCCATTTCAAGATTATGACATGAAGCAACAATGTAAGCAATCTATGCATCAAAGACACTTTGTTAATCAAATGGTTAAAATCCAAGATTAATGAAATTGGTTCAGCTATGAAACTGTAATCAAAATTGTGATGAACTGTTGAAAGTATTCTCCCATTGGTGACCTATGAGTAATTTCAAAGTATATTATAATTTTTGTATGACATTTAACTTCCCATGTGGCAACTAGCAATATCATGTAACAATTTTCTGTGGCCACTATTAAAAGGTAAAGGTAAAAAGGGTGAGTCTACCACTTACAAGAGGGAATGTCTGTAGTCAGCAAACTTCGAATAAATAACACATCTAAATCCTAATCAAGAAACCCATGTTTGAATTGGGGTTTTTAAATGTGTCTGAACTTGTGTATTTTTTAAGTATTATATGCAGCTTAATTAATATAGTATTAAATTTTTATTGTCATATTTATCAATATGGCAACCACATGAGCACATCTGGAACCTAAATCCCTTAACTTCAAAGTTTTGATATACATCTATGTGATATTTAACATTAAATATAAACTATCAACAATTGGTTCAGAAACCGAAGATGCAATGGCAGTTTCACAAGCAGCAATTGTAGCAAATGATTACTTCATTTGAATGTAACCTTTGTTTATATATAGAATTAAAAGTGTGGTAAAAAACAAGCAAAATAATACCTGGCATTAGTTTGAGCTTTACTACTGATTGTTCATGAACAACTAATACCTAAAATTTGGCACTTGACTACATCTTGCACAACGAACCACTCAAACTGAAACTGTGAAAAGAAAGTTAATCAGAGAAATATATAAAGAACTCCAACAAAACTAACCTTCTCCATAGCAGAACGCAACGACTGGGGGTCTTCCAGCACATGGCGGATTAAGAGGGTTGCTAAAGAGGTGAATCCCGTAAATGCTGAGCTTTGAGTGAGATTTAATAGTAGTTTTGGTCCACCAAGTTCAGTAAATATTACAGCATTTTCATAACTACGTGTTAAACGAAGACACAACCTCATTACAGCATGCAGGCTGTCTGGCTCAACAGGAATACTAATCAACCCAATACAGGCCCTACAACATGAAGAAAAATTACATTAAATGAGACACATTTTCTATTATGAAAAAGTATTTATACCACATTTTAATCAGCTTCTTTTTATCCCCTAATTTTTCCACACACCATAATAAAACCTTACTTACTGTTAAAATAAAAATAACTAAAAAACAAGTATGTCAAACTATTACAAATTAGCAGTTCTTTATGATCCACAGATGTTTTTATTATCTTATTTATCATTAAAAATAAATACTAAGTGAGAAATGAATGTAAACCTTTATGAACATAACATCAGCTACAATTTTAAGTGCATAAACCAATATTAATATATTAGAAAGAGAAGGTTACTGTCAAATAAGAAATGATTTTTTGAATTACACTGAGGAAAATTACCTGACTAATGTAGCTGACTGTTCTCGTGTTAAACCTTGAACTATCTTTACTTCAGCAATTGGTTCAGTAACTGGAGATGCAACGGCAGTTTCACTACCAGTACCACTTTCATCTGTATCCATTGTTTTTTCTTTAATACGATTATCTTCCTTCTCTTTGTCTTCTTTGTTTTCTAATGTTAACATAATTGGTCTCCAATTGCCTGTTTCTTCATTAATCTGAAAAAATGCAACATAATTAAGGTAATAGGCTTTGGCATTTTAACAAAAGAGTAAGATAACCTCCATCTTCATAAACCTGGGGGGTGGGGTGATTTGTGATAATAATTTGAGCAAATAAATTATGAGCCAATTTTTTTAATTGTTTATACAATTGTAATTTTGCACATTACATTACATTCCTCTTACTGAATAAGATATGCATATATTCACCACAAGAACCAGACTTGGCCAACCTACGTGCACAATTCTATTATTATATTCACTTGAAATCTTTTCTTTATAATGCTCTTACTTAATACAAAATATAACATATATCAAAACAAAATTAGCAAGTAATAAGGTATTTAAACATGTGTTATGAACTTTTAACATGAGGCTATTTTGTGAGGTTCAGAAATCTCAGTCATCTGTACTTGGATTTACTGATCTGTCTATGCTACTTCATACCTGGACCATTGTACTAAACTGAACAGTGTAGCGTCTCCTCCCAGCTGTGAATCTTACACTCTGTTCTCCCACTTTGTAAGCATCATCTATTGTTTTGTTGTTACTTCCAGTGTAACTGTTCCATCGACCAGTCCGATCATCAAACCATTTCCACTGTCGTTTGGAGACCTGGAAATTAAATGGAAGCGTTTTATATTTTTCTCAATCAAAAACATAAAACTTATTTTCATTTTTTTTTCTTACTGGTAATACAGTGCATTGAATGCATCAGCTAATATTCACTAAACTAGAACTTGTCTCATCAGAAACTTTTGTTGCTGCCTACTCTCCATGCAATTATTTAAAAATTAACATTAAAAATGATAATAAACTTATACTCTGAACAAAGCTTAAAAAAATATTTTAAAAAAATAAAAAATTAAACCTTCTCATAGCTATAGCTTGTCTTTTTGTTTATGGTTGCCAAATACCCTCCCTCAAATCACCAGAAAATAAAACTGAGAATTTCAAATTTAGGATTTTTTAAAATCACATTTCACTGGCACTTATTTTTAGATAAAATAATAATAATATTTAAAAAACAACAACATCCAAACTATCTAAAAGTAGCAATAACAATGGTAATAGCCACACACAGGTTCATATTATTAAGGTTAAACTTTTTCCACTACTACTAGCTTAATATAGATACCTTAAAGTAACACAGACCTTTAACAATGGTGCTCTTCTTATTGAAGAGATTGAGGCCCTTTCAAACAAATCTATCAGGAGGCATACTGAAGCTGGCCACCTTTAAATGAGAAAACGACAAAAGCTCAAGAAGACTACATTAATATACATACACATACTTAAGAATTAATGGCATACAGAAAACTTGTTTTTATCAAATCACAGTTCATGTTTACATATGATTTTGCTTTGTAAAAATATTTCTCTGTGTGTGTAATATATATAACAAATTTCTTTTTCAAGCTTCAATGCATATGCACTTTCTTACTGAAACTTAAAACACCAATAGGGGCCAGTAACTATTAAAAGTGAGACAAATTATCAGTCAAGCAAATCAAACCATTGTTCAAAACTGTTTGTTTGTTTTTAATTATGCACAAAGCTACACAAGGGCTATCTGTGCTCTGCCCACCACGGGTATCAAAACCCGGATTCTAGCGTTGTAAGTCCGCAGACATACCGCTGTACCACTGGGGGGCTCAAAACTGTTATTTAAGCTTCTGAAAACTTTTCTAGTTATTTATTTTTAAATTAGAAGCATACTACTGTGCTAAACATTCACAATTAGTTATGAAAAAATTAGTCTTACACCAAAGCAAATTATCAACTGATCAACCATGTAAAAACAACAAAAACATGACTTACAAAAGCTGTGAATTCAAGAAATCTTGAAAAATAAAACTAAAGTTCTTTAACTGGATATAACAACAATTTCCTTACTTTGGAGTAGGAACATCTTTTACAAGAACAAAACACTGTTGAGCAGCATCCAATAAAGTAACAAGTGTGTCTATGAGCTGATGTTTTTCTACAAGACATGCACACGAAATCCTCATTTCCTGAATAACAAAAATGTATAAAAACTGGTTATATAATATTATTTACATTTGAAAGTTCTAACTAAATAAAAAGAAAACATGAATTCTGTCAATATTTTGTATCAGTAGTAAATATCTCTTTATTTTGAAAGAACTCATACATGCATTAATACTGATAATAATTATACACTCAATACTATTACAAAACTAAACCTAGTAATTTTATTAGCACTATATGATTAAAATCTTATTTCCTCTAACCAAATGCATGGTATTTTTTACAAAATTTCTGAACTAAAGTAAGTGAATTGAAAGAGCAAGCCATTTAGCCTTCTTTATCTCTTCAATAAGTTGTTAGTTTGTATAGAATATTTTACCCAAAGCTACACATATCTGCATATAGCTATCCTTAAATGAAGGGAGCTAGTCAAAAGCATCCAATCACATCTCTTGGGACACTCATGATTAAATGGTCATTCTTATAGTATGCTCATGGCCTCAAACAGCAAAAAATGTTTTTGCAGTAACTGAATGAAAACCATGAAACTTTGGATTCCCAGTCTAGGCATGCTAACAACTAGGCCACACCAGGCCTTTAGAATTTTGTAAATAAAGTACCAGAAAATAACTGTGTATAAAGAAAGCAGTCTCTCAATCACATTTCCTAATATTTGCAACTTTACCATTAAAGACAAAACAAAAACTAGTTTTATAGAAAATTGTCACACCTACACACACACATATTTCACTATTATCTATGCTACATTAAAGGTATATGGGTGATTATTGAGCTCTGCACAGCCCTGATGAAATGATTATGTAAAAAGATAACATTTTAATTATAGATTTATGAGTCAGCAAAACTATAATGAAGCAAAGTATAAGTGGTATCATTTTAAAGTGAAAATGTCTGCAGCCATAGCACCCAAGAACAATGGGGATATTCCTTTTATCAGATTCATTAAGGCATTAGGATCTGAATATTAGAATTCACAGTATCTTAGATCCCACTACTATTCACCAGCCATTTGTGGGCATGATAGTTACCACTAAAGACAAAAATAGAAATCTTATATCATCAACCACCCTTGATTTCTATCTAAAGTTATTTCATCCAACCTCCACTTTTTTTTTAGTTCTAATAATACATGATGTTGTAATTTTAATGCTGAAATAATATATATATATATATATATATATATATATATATGATTTTATAAACTGTAAACCTACCTCTATATACTGAATATCCCATGGATATTTCTGAATAAATGCTATATTGTTCTGTTACAGTTCTACAATTTTGCTGGTGCTATCATGTATTTGTTGGTGCACATAACTATGATAAAAATATATGCTTTAACATATATATCTATGTCTGTAGCAAATATTAAAAGAAACTTACCTCAAAGAGAAGAGTGAACAAGTGAATCCTAACAGCAGTTTTTCCAGCTTCTGGCAGAGTTGACAACTGTGTAACCCACTCTTGTACAGATTTTGTGTCAGCTGTAGTCATTGGTGCAGTGGCATTCAGTAGCTTAGAAACATTATCTTCAATCTAAGAAATTTCTTATATTAAAACCTTACGTATTTGGATAGCAAACTTCTGCAAAATTCTTACAAACATATACAACAGAAACTTGTTACATTTGTTTTAATAAACACTTCAAAAAATATGCTCACAGAATGTAAAATACAATAATGCCTCAATTATGTGCTGAAATTCTGGTGTCTTACTGGGAAATTAAGGTTATTGTAGTTGCAATGAAATACATTTAGAAAATTGACTTATCTACATATCAACTGAAATAAGCATATAAAAATGTTTTTTCAAAACAATGTGCAGTTATTTCATTCATTTACAAGTTTAAGGAGTGGCCTTGACCTAAGTCACATCTAACTTTTGAAACAATTATAGAAAAATTAATTAACCAAAAAATTTAAGATTTTATTAAAATGAAATGACATAGTCCAGTATTTTCTCTAAAAGTTCTCAGTCAGCACAAACATGTGAACATAATATAGATCTAAGTATTCTGTTGCTATTAGTAGGTGACAATCTCTCAGCTGGTCTGAAATCCATATCTCAGTATTCCTCAAAGTACAGCTATTGCATAAAGAATGTTTTCAGCAGTGTTTACAAACATCTTTGATCTCAGATCAGTTTTATGCTTAATATTTTCACACACATATAACTATCATCAAAATCTACTCTAATTCTTTATATAATTGAATTTGATATTAAACTATCATACAATTTTATTCTTCAAAAATGGTTAGTAGACAAGAATGAAAGTGGACACAGAAAGGAAAGGATTAGTATGCATTGAGCTAGAAATGATTAAGGCATTGAACAGTTTTATAATGTATTCGAAAGACAGAGTATCACCTAAAACATATGCAAATATTATTAAAATGTTTTTTTTTCCACTATAAGTATATACATGAATTCTCAACAAACCTCTTGAATAAGCTGTTCGAGCATCCTATCTCGCCAGGATTCTCCATTGCGGTTAACAACAGCAACAAGTAAATCACACACCCTGTAAACAGTGTCAGGTAATGTATCAAGTAACCTAAGACAGCCAGGTAGCATCCTGTCAGTAAAATCATCAATTATCTTGGATGAAAGAGGTTCTTCATCCTGCTGCTCTTCTCGTTCTAGTTCCTGTTGATCATCCACTTTCCTTGGTTCTTCTTCTACCTACATTGAGCCACATATTTTGTCAATACCTTTTAACAGTTCAAAACAAACAGTTAAATATTTCAATAAAAATTGGTAAGGGCATCAAATCAACACTTACAAAAATTGTACGAGATTGAAATAATAATATAGTATAAAAACACACTGAAATCTCAAGACTCCTTTTTTCTTACTTTATACAAGTTCTTAAGTTGATGATACTAAACTATCTTTATATTTATATATCTTCTTTGTACTTCACAACTGCTTACTATTCATGATCTGCAACCATATTTTGAAACCTGAGATGCTGATTAAGTACTATAAGACACTGATAAAAATCTCTAGGTACAAAATTGATACATTTTTGTTAGAATATTTCAAAAATTCCTGTAAGAACAACACAAATTTAAACTACTGATAAAAGTTACAGATAATTCTTTCATCCTAATGCATAAAAATCACGAGAATTGCTGAACACTGAGGTAAAAAAGTTTGTAAAAAATATGTATTATTTAATTTGTGACAGTTAATACTTTGCAACTTTATTACACAATTGAAGCAAGCATGAAAAATTCATCATAATATGAAATACAATTTATATTCTACATTCTTTCCAAAACATCAAACTTAACTAGCATTACTTCTGTCATCAAAAAAAGACATTAATTCCAAATTCTAATGAAAGAATTCTTCTCTCTAAGAAAATAAACTGAAATATTTCTTAATAATTGCACCATCATTTCATAATTAAAAACAAAAAATGAGATCATCCTGCAGTACACTTCTAATAAAGACAACAGTAAGTTTAATTTATCAACACATTCTTTAATTCTTCCTTCAGTGATTTAATGGTTGTTAAGCACAAAGTTACACAATGGGCTATCTGCTCTGTGCTCTTCACAGGTATGAAAACCTGGTTTTTAGTGTTATAAGTCTTCAGATACTTGAAATAAGGAAGCACATGATGCTAATATAATAATAGGTACACAAACAACAACTTACAAGTATGAGGAAGAGCATACAGTATGTTTTGATTGAACCTTGGCCTTTCTTTTGGTATGGTCTCTACTAAGCAATACAGGGTTTACATATACATATATACATTTACAAAGACACAAGTCACAAGGCTTATAGGGAAAGTTGATATCTGATCAAGTGTACGCGTTGTGAATAAACATTTGCCAAATATGGCTGATGTTGCTAATGCCCTTATCATGGTTTAGTGAAATATCATTAGTTTTGATGATTTCTATAGTTTCTAAGCAATTTATTTCTTTTTTTTAGCTGTGGTTGGTGTAGGAGAAAAATTTCACCCTAAAGTATTTTCTGGCCTGTTTCAAATTAATGATATGTTAAAGCAAGCAGATATCTGAAATCCACCTCTATGCATGTGACCTTGGTACTCTTTGCTTCTTATTTCCAAGGAACATGATGTTTGTCCTATGTATTTCTTTCCACACACATCTTTCTTTTGTTCCTTTAGTAGGGATTCTTTCATGTTAGGTAGTAAGGCAGCTTTTACATCTATAATCAATTGGTTAAACAGGCAAGTAATTACATTGGCAGTTTCTGCCATGTTTTATATGTTGTTGATAGGTAAAAGGTTAGAATTAACAACACTTTTTACAGATTTGATGTTTAATAAAAGCCAAATCTATGATGTTAGAGTTGAAACCTCTAGGTAGTTCAATTCAATCAGTAAATATTTTTTGTGAGTGCAAAGTTGTATAGCACGACTTGTGTAGGTGAAGTAGGAGAATATTTTGTGTGACAGTTGGTGATTAGATCTTATGTGTGACAGCATGGCGATGGAATGCAGTTTCCTGCATAAACTGGTCACATTATTATTCTCTCTTTCAATTAATATCTAAAAAGGGAAGACAACTGTTGGATTCTACTTCATGTGTGAAAATTATGACATTGGGTTTTAAGGTGTTTAAGATTTCAATGAAATTATAAATATTTTTCCCATGTTACTATATACTAAAAATATCATTGATGTATCTTAGCCAGATTTCAGGTTTCTTGATGTGGGTGAATTTGTTTCCAAACAGTTCTTCTTCTATAATGGACATATAGAAGTCACTAAGTAGAGGGGAAAGGGATCGCATTGGTAATCCAATATTTTGTTTGTAAAACTGGCCTTGATAAATAAAATAAGTGTTATTTAAGCAGTATTCTGTGAGGGTGATTAGGTGGTCTATTACAGGATTGTGTTCTTGTTTTTCTCTTAGATGGCGTAAGGGCTTGTTCTACAGGCATTGAAGTAAATAGATTTTACGTGAAAAGATGCTATCTTCTTGATTTATTTGGAAATTTTTAATTCTACTTACAAAGTCTGGACATGTTTTAAAAGAACAAAGTAGAGGATTTAATCTTTTAACTAAGTATTTAGCAACATTTTGTATCAGTGACCCTATGCTAGATATTATAAGTCTGTAAAGAGTATTCTTTGTTAATGCCAGGAAGGGGGGATACTAATGTGTGGGGAAATGTTTTCCTTAGCAGTGAGAACAGGGCAATGTTTAACTAGTTTTATAATGTAATAATTTTTATTTTTTAAATGTAATACTTGGGCTTAAAGCATAAATATATATTTGCAACATATATATAGTTAGGTTGTCAATTTCTGGTCCTATTTTAAAATACTGTACTTAATTTCATGGAATTCTTAAACAACTTGAGACCCAATGTCAATTTCCATATTTGAAGTAGAATCCAACAGTTGTCTTCCCTTTTTAGATGTTAATGTAAAAAGAGAAAATAATAATGTGACTACCAGTATATATACAGGAAACTGCATTCTGTTGCCATGCTGCCACACATAAGATCTAATCACCACCTGTCACAGAAAATATCCTCCTACATGTCTTACTATAAAACTTTGTACCCACAAAGAAGACTTACTGACTGAATTGAATTATTTAAAGAAAATAGCACTACCTAAATGTTTCAACCTCAACATCACAGACATGGTTTTATTAAACTTCAAAACCTAAAAAAATATTATGTTAACTCTAACAACATAAAACATAATTTTTTTTCATTCCCTTTTATGCCAGAAATTGCCAATAAAATTATTAGCCTATTTAATAATTTTAGCATTGATGTAAAAAGTATATTCAAACCTTCACATAAGATTATCACCTTACTACCTAACCCGAAATAATTCCTACTAAAGAAACAAAAGTATATATAGCATCCCATGTGAATTTGGAAAGAAATATATAGTACAAATGTCATGTCCCTTGGAAATAAGATGCAACGAACACCAAGGTCACATGCATAAAGACAAATTTCTGATACAGTCAAACCTTGTTATAACAGAAACCAAGGGACCCAGCAAAATAATTCGTTCTAACGGGAGTTCATTATAACCAACTGGCCACTAGAGGGTGCTTTCATGAAAAACAAATATGGCTTCCATAGTTACAATGCCCCACAATGCAATGTTGTTGTTTTTAAACACATCACACATCATCCAAAAAAACATGGAACAAAAATTATCTTTCAATCTTTTTCACTTCCAATTAAAGAGAATTATTTCACTGTACTTGAAAAGGCAAAATCTTACTTAATAAATCCATAATCTTTGTTTGATGGTAACCTGTAAACAGTGTAGAAAACAACATCTTCATTCTGCAAAAGTTGAGTAAAAATAGTTGTTTAAACATTTTCATGAAACTGGAGGTAACTGTGTCGCTTTACTAGGCAATCCATGGATGTGACGTCGAAGGTACTTCTTCAGCAATGATGGGGAATAATGGAGCATCTTCATCTAGCTTGTCATTTTGTTGTTCCATTATGGAAACAATAATGTCATCATCAGATGGCAACTTTCAAACTTTAGTTTCATCGTCTGCACCCACAAAGGCCAAAAATGATATCTCAGGCAACTCAAGGCATTGAGACAGGCTGTCCCAAAGACAGCTGACCTCTTCATCGGGGATATCATCAGAAGTTTTATTAGAATTATTGTTTTCAGCATAGGCATTGATCTCTCCTTCCACACCAAGACTAGTAGTATTTTGTACATCGGCAAATGATAATTTATGGAAGCAGTTGGGCAACGGTCGACTCAGTAATTTTCTGCCACGAGGAATGTGGCATATCAGTTGCATCTTTGATGTTGATTGTTGGTAGATTTTCTCCTGAATCGAGAGACAACAGGATTTTCTGTACAACCTGTTTTTGGTAGTAGTCCTTGAAATTTCTGATCACACCCTGGTCCATTGGCTGCAGGTTTGATGTTGTATTCAGTGGGAAAAACACGTGTTTTATTGACTTTAGGTTGTCTATGGCTGGGTAAGCTGGTCAACTGTTGATGAATTCTAATGTTTGAACTTCTTTTCTTTGTGTATCCAACTGCTATCCATCCGTGCTTTTCTGTTTGCCTGATAATCAACGAGTGGTGTCAGCTTTTCTGATCCATCCATATTTGCACACAACATCATGATGATTCTTTCTTTGCTTTCCTCCCAAACAGACTTCATTTTTGAATGTTAAAGTCTTATTAGGCATCAATTGCAAAAATAACCCAGTTTCATTTGCATTAAAACTATCTCTTGGGGTATAACCTTTGACTAGTGCTGGTAACGACATTGCCACTCAGTCATCAACCATATAATTGCTGATAGCAGTAATCTCACTGCACACCAATTTAAAGATGATGCTGTTTTTTTGAGACTTGAATCTTTCCAGCCAACCATTGCTGGCATAGAAGTCAGGATGATTCAATTTTTGTCCCAGTTCTCTGGCTTTTGCTTGAGGAGTGGGCCTGCTGATCAGAATATCCATCAAATGTGAATGGGTAAACCATTTTAACAATGCTTGCTCAACCTCATCTTCTGCTGAGAACTAGAAACATCTGTAGTTGGGTTTGATTTTCGTAGGTTTTCAAAAACATCAGACTTTTTCTTCAAAATTGTAGACAGTGTACTGGGCTTCATGTCAAATTTTCTCAAGATGTCACCATGATGAATAATGGACTCAATAGTTTGATGATTTGGACTTTGCAG